GTCGAGTCTCCAAAGGCCGCACGGCAAGGGGCGTGGCCGAGCAAAGGGGTGGGCTGTACTCAACTTGTCTGACTTGACTCTGACGACCTATGTCCAATGGCATGTTCTTGGAAATCTTCAAGTCAGGTCGAGTCATCAAGTCGATGACAATAGGTGAAGAAGGAATTGTACGCGGCGGTGGCAGGCCCCGTTATTCCCGCTGTCCGACGGCGGCCAACGCCGACGGCACGGGAATTGCGAGAAATCCACACCTGCTGGAAGCACAAGAAAAAATAAAAGCTTCTTTTTCGCATCCCTCCCTCACCTCCGCCTTTGGAGCTGAAGATCAGAATCCCGTAGAGCCGTAGGAACCGCCCGATTCCGGATCCGCCGTCTTGACTCGTGGGTTGGTGACATGACGAAACAAAGAAGAGGTAGATTATCCGTGGGTGCAACACCTTTGGTAAAAGTCCCGTACCTGGTGGATTATAAGTGATCGATGATGTTTCCAGGATATCACCATGGTGTGGATTAGATCGATGGCTGTACGTAACTGGGCGGCCAGTGTGGATTTGTGGTATTTGGATTTCCCATTCTCAATCGAGGAATGATGGTTGAGACCGCCCCTCCACTTTGTTCCTCTGCCCCTCTCCTTGAGACGGTAACCAGGCAAAGAGAGGAGAGGAAAAGATTGGTGATGAATTGTCCATGGATGCCGAGGATAGATGGCGGATCGGGGCTGATCCTGGCTCTCGTTATTTTGGCACAAATATGATGGCAAGGAGGTGCAGGTGAGCGAGCAAAAGCCGCGCAGCGGGCCGTCGACCAGTGCAGTCCAATGCGAAAGATGAGCAATCGCGGCAGAACAGCAACATAAGCTGCCCCAGGGACAGACCCCTGCCCCCTGCGGCACAACCTTTGGGATTTCTACGGTCGAGGTCCCCAGCGGTGGGAATCACCAAATTGTGGCGGCGAGGGGTGTGGGTGACGGATGGAGGACGTGGCAAGCCTTCTGAGTGGCCGACACGACATTCGCACACACACCCAAGACATGTGCCCGCGGTTCAGATAGCCAGACACGACAACATGCCGAACTGGATGCTGCACGACCTAATGCTGGGTCTGTTGGCAGTGTCGCTGCACCTCCGAATGCGTGTCATTCCCTAAAGACGGCGAACTCCAGGTCTTGGTCGAGGTCTTGGCCTTGCTTTTAAGAGACTACGTCTCTGTCTTCTTGCTGGTTGTACGAGGCGCAGGCCGCATGGCAGGTTGTACGTACATGCGGAGGTGAGTGAAGCGGACCGTCATGGTGTCGAGACTTTGGCATGTACCCCGTACACCGAATGTCTACCGAAGTTCTGGGAGGGGTCAATTATGCGTAGCGCCAAGGAAGCGAGGTAAGGGACCAGCACACGGCCGCCGCAGCGTCTTGCATAGGAAACCTGGAGTCTGGAGAATGAGATGGACGGGTAAGGCCATCCTCGCTGCAATGCAAGGTAGGGCTCGTTGCGAGAAAAGGAGTTAGACCCCAAATAGGAGATGGTTGGCCGCGCCGCGGAACGGGAGCGTGGGCTCAGGGAAACGGAGGGTAGCGTGTGCCTCGGTACCGAGCGAGGAGGGAGAAGAGAACGGGAGAGGGTTGTGAGCTGGAAGGCCGGAGATGTTGGAGCCCAGAGCTGAGGGCCGGAGCCTGGAGGTTAGGACAAGCAAGCGCAGACAAGGTCCAGGGCCAGATAACCGCGGCCGCGGAGCTGAGGGAAAGCGCACCGCAAGTGGATTCCTGTGTTTTTTTGTGCCCTTCCCGCCTTCCCTCTGGCCCCTCTCTGTCGACATTTGGTGACATTGTGGTGGTACCTTACGCCGTGCAGATAGAGAAGTCTGGAAGTATGGCGGTACGGCGGTACAACGGGACGGCGGAGGGCGCAAATACGTCCAGTGCTGTTGGTATAGGGTTCCCTGACTTTGGGTTTCCATGGGAGCTGCCGCTTCTCGTGGAACAGCACCCCATACCACCAGCCGGCCCAGCGGTAGGCAGGCCTGAGGACGTTGTTGCCAATCCTGCTGAACGCAAGGGAAAGGAATAGCCATGGTCGATTGCCAATGGTCTGGTGGGCGGTGTGGGACTGCACTGCGACCGTATGAGCTGAGTCCGGCGAGCAGCGAGATGTGATGTGAGATTCAATCCACTTTGACCTGCATCCCATGGGTGGTCACGTCTCATGGAAGAAACAGAGAAGAATTGGCAATGGAAGCACTGGAGCGCTCAATTGGAGCGGAGCACTGCTGCTGGAACCCCCCTGGGCACAGCAAGGCAAGTGTGAATGTCGGATCCGGTGTGTATTGGTTGGGTCGTGCTCTGGCCGGGCGGGCACCGCACCTGCCTGCAAAGTACCACGTACCTACCCAGGATGGAGAGAGAGATGAGAGATGGAGATGCGCGCAGAACCACACTACGAATAATGCGGCACTGTGCGTGTTCGTTGGGATACCCATCAGCAGGTGTCAGTGAAGTGGTGGTGGAAGGCAGCTGCCTTCATCCTGTCTCTCTGAGTCTGCCCCTCGGTCTCTCTGTCTCTCTCCCCTCGAATGGAAGGCGCTCGACCAGGGAGGTACGAAATGGGCCCTTGTTCTTTCCCTTGAGTGTCTCCATCCAGTCGTGGTCTTGCTGGGATGTGAAAGTGGGGCGGGAGAGCCCAGGCCCCAGAGAACAGAGATCTGCGTCTTTTTTGGCGCTAGCCTGTTGAATGATTAGGTGGGATGCCTGTCGCCGACCCACTCTCTTTTTTCTCATTGCATCGGCGAACCAGCTCCAGCAATGCAAGGTGAAGACTGATGATCCCCTGCACCTTGCCTCGTCTTGGCTTCGAGTCTTGGGAGGGGGGTTTGATGTGCCGATTCTTCCATCCGTCACTGGCCACTGAGAGCAGAAGCCCATGTCGATCGTCGAGATGCTCGGTTGCCATTGCATTGGCAGTTGCAGTTGCAGGACCAGGAGTACTGCGTAGCAGCTTCAAGCCCCCAAACTTCAAGCATCGACGCACTATCACCACCAATCACCACTTGCACGCCCAACCTGTCTGTCTGCAAGGCCGACAACGACAAGCCTCAGAGCCCCAGGGCTAGGGAAACTAGGTCCCAGGTTGCAGGTGAGGCCTGTCTTGCGCGCGTGGGGTGTACCTTATTCGTACGTGCATGCTGCTGACTACTTACAACTCTTCCCTAGGCCAGCAAGCCGACTAGTTCCTCGCCTTCTGCAAGTCCCAGATACCGTCGTGCAGCTGTCAGTGATCACCATCATTCAGTCGGAACAGTCAACGCGAACATCGGGACCGTCTCGGCGCGGCAGTCAAGGAAGGCCAATTGCCATTGGCACTTCCGGATTACGGTACCTGCCCATCCAAAAGCACTGCCCCGTGTCTCGAAACCCCCGTCGATCCCGAGTCCTCTTCCGACGACAGCCACAACAACGTCAAGAGACAAGAAACAAAGAAGCAAATCCCGCCTCTTCCCATGGTGCCGGCCAAGGGGGGGGTAACACAGCAAAGAGGGACTTGCCGTGTGGTGCCCGCGATCTAGACTCCCCGAGTGTGGGACCCTGACTCGGGCGGAGTCGAAGGAATGCTTGCGCTGGAGTCGATCCCAGTGGACCAAAAGAGCATAGGCTCCTCGGGGACTTCTGAGCCCGCGCGTTGAGCACAACACTAGCCCCGACGGGCGTGACGAACGGGGCTCTGCTACCAAAATATTCTCCGCCCGCGACAGAGATTGTACGACGCGATACAACGAGTGGGTTCCAGTGGGCTATGGTCTGTGTTTTGTGCTGTGGGCTTTGACCTTTTGTCCATGCCCTTTGGACCGCGACAGACACTCCGACCCGTGTCTCCTTGTCTGCTTTGTACGAATGCCATGGCATCATACCTGGGGGCTTGTCATCGCCTCTCGAGACGACATCTACCAGACAACTGAAGCGGTGCCGCCGATTGCGATACGAGGACCACGCAAAACACGAGATGCCCTACCACGACTCGACGCAGGGGCGTTTATCAAGCCTTTGGGGATCTTGCTGGCGTCTCGAAGGTTAATTTGGCGTACTCGCCCAGGGCTTGGGATCAAACGGTGGTCTAAACTCTCTGACCTTGAGATCGCCCTGCCACTACGATGTTTAGGGGTTCGCCGGTTTCCTAACGACCTACACTTGTTCTGTTCTGTCTCTAGGTGGACCTAAAACATTCGTTTCCTGAGCTGCGACGACAGACGGAGTCAAGACAAGAATAGCCACTCATGGGACGAAAGCCCTCCGTCCCCCTCGACAATTATCGGATGGTTCAACGCCCGTGTGGCGGAGTGTTCGATGTCGGGAGGCCACAGGAAGAGAACAGAAGCTGGCCGTTCATCGCCGACAGTCCTAGGTGCAGACTTACCTACGAATACCCATACTGCGACCCCTCCCTTTCTGAGAGCACATATTGCGCTGTCACATCTCCGAGATGAAGATGAGGATGGGTAAGGATAGACCTGAGCAGACCACCCATCGTTGGGGACTCCTACGCGCCTTGCGTCTTGTCGAAGGCTGCTTTTCCCCTGAAAGTGTAGGGAACCAAGATGTCTCTGCACGTGTCTCCTGACAGTGTCTGATGTTGTGCTTGTCCCTGTCACCCACAAGAGGTTCGGGGCCTACCTTAGCGTTTCCCCCGCAAGTTCGACTTGTCAAACGAATACTCGAGCTAGGGGCGGGCGCGAGCGCAGACAGGGACACTGACGCCGGCTCGTCTTATCTTGTCTCGAGTTTGTCATTGCCGCTTACCACCACTATCAAAGTCGAGACGCGTCGCGCCGCTCTCTCTGACGCACAGGCTACTGGGACATCACAAATAACTAGATATGAAGGACCGCCGTTGCCTGAGCTCGCAATCAAGAGAAGAGTTGCGTGTCCAGCAGTAGTGGCAAGGGGGTGGTCAAGTTGCCTTACCCTGCCTCGCACAGGACTGAACGTTACCGTGCCTCTAATGATTACAGAGATCTTAGAGTGTCGATCTTGTAGGGAACGACTGCAGTTGCGAGCGCGTAATTGCAATCGATCTGCCGAAAGCCGTGGAGTGCTCGCTTCGAATCTCGATGGGAGCTGCTGCGGCGTACCGACCTGGAAGAAATCGTATCTCAACAAGATACATAGATGCACACCGGGATTCGAAGGCGCTGAGCATCTGTGCTGTACCGTCTGTACCAACCACAGGTAGAAATCTTGACGGCGGAATGCCAGGAGGTTGACACCCTGTTGTCTCCAATTTGGTTGACGGTGGGTTTCCTGGAGAGCATCAGAATTCAGAAAATAGCCTCGGGGATGAGAAATGGGCGGGACTAACTGGAAGAGGCTGTAGCGGCATCCGCTCCTTCGATTTTTAAATGGGATTTCCTCCTGTTCCCTGTCGTCGGGCACCTCGACTACGGCGGACGGGCCACACCTCCACGTCGACATGTCGCAGCTGAGATCTGCCGGGGGCGGATTTACTAGGAATACCGAGCCAGACGCGAGGCCGGGGGCCGGGGGCCGGGGACCCAAGATCAAACCCGAAGGTCGAAGGTGTGGCTCAGGGTGGCCCAAGGTGATGGTGAGAATGGTAGGGGTAGGGCCCAAAGTTCTAGGCAGCTTCACCTGGGTTCCTTGCAACTTAAGTCGAGGTCGAAGCTACCTAGGAAGATGCTCCAGCGCCCAGCTCTGCCCTGCGTTACCAACGTCCCCTTCTCCTACTGGCGTGCTGGCTCAGGTGCTTCCAATGCTGTGCCGCCCGGATACGCTAAGGAATAGCACTTCTCTTGGAAGTGTCTCTGTTTGTATGTGTCGCAACCATGTTTCCCAAGCCCAATTTGCTATTCACTGGTGCTTCAGAGAAATTCCAGAGGGCTGGAGCGCTGCGATGGCCAGGGGGGAGGAGGGGAGGTGTTCTTTCTTTTGCCTACCCCTCGCTTAATTGTGACAGCCTGCAACCCTGCCCGACGATGGCTGCTCCCCTCAGGCTAATTTGCCCTGCGAGGGTGGGCTGCGGGCACTGAGAACAGAAGGTTGGGTTCCGCAGTGCAGATGCATGCGGAGTTGCGAATCGACACGGGTATTCAAAGGCGGGCTCTCTCGCTCAGTCATATCAGACGCGTGCGCGCACTGGGTCCCGCGAAAATTTGGATTGCGCTCGAGAGCCGAGGCAAACAGGGAGGGAGTGTCCGAGAGTGATGAGGGACGATCGAACACCTTGCCTGGTAAATGACATTGGAATCGGCGGCCGTCGGCGACGGCGACGCGATAGCGACGTTGACGGTGACGGTGAAGGTGGACGAAGCGAAGACAAGGCAGTGGCACAACCGCCGGAAAGGGCCGCTGAGAGCAACCAACCTTGGGGGATTGTATCGAGAGCGAAGTACTGTACTTCGTGCTCTGGTTCGAAAGTACCTGCGGCAGCACCGGGGCAAAAGTCCCGGTACATGGCCAGGCCGCCGTCCAACGATGTCTTCCGCGCCCTTTGCTTCGCAATGCGTCTGTACCACTACCTGAGTACAAGTACTGCAGAGGCAGGCAGTGGCGTACGGAGTACCTTTCATCCTCCCTTAGGTGGGCTGCGGCGCGGTGTCCTTTCCTCAGCTGGACATTGTCGGAGAAGGTGCAAGCACGGAGCACGATGCGGACTTGTACGGCCGCTTCCGCCTGCTATGCTGGACTGTCGATGCCGATGGGAAGCATGTCTTTTCTCTCTCGGCGTTCAAATGGCAGGACCTCGGTGAAATTCCGCCTCGATGACTGCAATTTTTTTTCTCTCCTCTGTTCAATCCCGCACTGGTTGCCACATTAGAACATGGAGCCTCAATCCGCCACCTGCCATCGCGCAGCCCGCATGCGTGTCAATGTGGCCTGTCGAGCCGTGTCGAGCCGAGTCTGACTGATATTGCAAATGTGTCGGCCGTGTTGGACTACTCCCTGCTTGATGGGACTGTACCCTGTTCTCACCGCTCAAGTTCACGGCCGAGTCGGTCGGTGTCCGACAGCTTACGATGCGATTCCCCCGGAGCCCTGCAAGCATTTGCATGCGTCACATCTACGCTCCACAGTCCGCAGTCCACGGCGAACGGGCACGCTGATGCCCAGATGGCGGCCGCCGCCGCCGCTGCTCCTCTCCTACGGCTCCCACCTTCCGACACCCTTTACAGTCTACAGGCGACAGCCTCGTCGAAGCAGTGTGGTCGGTCGTCCGAGTACCGACAACGACGGCTTTCTAGCCTGGTTCAGGCCTCAGCACGAGTTGCTGCATATGAGCCAAAGCCAATGCCAGGAACCGCCTCCAACGTGCCTTAGGGCTATCCGAATAGTTCAGGACCAATCTACGGCTATTCTCGAACAAACTAAGCAAGTCCCGACACCCTGGTTTGGGGGTTCACCAAGAAACGCAGCCCGCTGCTAGAGTGATCTGTCGCGAAGGTTAGGGCGTCGACAGATCTCAAGCGACCCAAGCCGCTGGGAATCGACTAAACAAGCGTTAATGCCCCGGAGGGGCACAGTGTCTGGTCTTGTCTTTCAGTTGGCCGCCTCCGAGGAACCCAAACCAACACACGCACACACAGAAGAGCAGTGCCGTGCAAACGGGCGAACACCTTATCCCGACTTGACCTCGCACCTACATGCCTGGCTGGCTGGCTGTTCATCTACCGCCGGTCCATCCTTGAGACGAGTAGCGCCGCCATCGCCAATTGTTTGTTCCAACGACAGCCCTCCATACCCAACACCTTGGGCAGTCGCACCACCACACATCAAACCCTGAATGACAAGGACGCTAGTCCGTTCAGTCACTCATCCTGAAGGATTTGGGGGCAGAGAAGCCACGAGAAGCATGCCTTGGCATAGCCGGCGGCTAGCATTCCGACAACACACGAACATCAAGCTCAACACCGTCATGCTACAGGCTGCTCCGTACTTGACGAAGACGTGCCACACCGACCTGCAAACCCGCGCTGCTGTCGGTAACGACTCGCCTGGTCGGCTTCAGCCACCTGCAACACTGCAAAACCAACGACTGGCCAAACGAAATGTCTTGTACTAGTACACACGCACCTTTACGGGCACCCGTGCGAGCACACCACAAACGACAAGTGATTGTCAATGAGCAGCAGGCCCCCGCCAATCTTGCTTCCCGCTTCCAGCCGTCACCATTTCAACGGTCACTGGTATCACATCACCCTCACGTCGTCCCATGTTCATGTCATTCCCATTAATCCTCCCTCAGTTGGTGGTGCCGCCATCGACTAGGGCGAAGCAACTTTCGGCCAATGCACACTCCCAACGACCTGCTGCAGCCGGCCATGAACCTCATGTCCCTCCAAATTCCGCCGATTTCATCTTCTTGCATCGGTCACCCATCCATGAATTCAAAAAAAAAAAATCGAGTTGTCGCTCCGAATGCGGCACTGCATTGCCGTCATTGGCCGAGCGGCCCAGCATTGGCAAATATTGTGACTCCCTCTTGTTGCCCGTGTACATTGCACACCGATACGAATGGCGGCGGCAACACACGAAATTTTGACAGGATAGGACCGCATTAGGCCACGAATCCCAGGGAACGAGGAACACGAGAAAGGATTGAGATTGCGCGGATACCTCGGAACGACAAGCAAGACACGGTCATCAGACCCAAAGTTTCTGACCGCATTACCCATGCGATGATTCCATTGCCTGAAGCCTGCAGCAGTTGAGCAGCGACGACGGCAGCCTTTCTGCCCTTTGCCTACGGGTACTATCCATGCCATTGAGTGCTGGTTGGCCACCTTCATTGCCGCCCTTTTGTCACTCGCCATGTCGTCGCCTCCGTCGCCGGCGGCCTGCCAGTCGACACCCCTGCTGCGTGTCTTGGCCGTGACATGCTGGCTCGTACTCTACGCACCGCCCAGCACAAAGTACCGGCCAGACCAGCGCTGAAAAATGCAGTCGTGGCCCTCCTCTCCGGCCCAGTGGATGACCGAGCGCTGTCACTGACAGGCTCAGGCTTGACCTGACCTGACCAGACTAGACCAGGTCGCGAGACACCATTTTATCGAAGTCCTCTGGGGCCTGTCTACCCCTCCTCACATCACCTAGGATTTTGTTCGCACGTCCCTTTTCGAGTTCGAAATGCTACCTCACCACAACATTCCACGTGCAGGCCAAAACTTTGTGCGCCCGACGTCTGCAGTCCGGCCATACTGCCTCACGTGGAGTATCCACTGATGTGCAGACCATGCCGTTCAGCGCAACGGACCACGGTCCAATCCACGCACCAAAGACAGTGGCTTGACCCTGTGCAACAATCGTATGAGCACGGCGAACCGTCTAGCCGTCAAGCCAGCCGTGGCAGCTGGGCGAAGTGGCCGAGGAAGATACAGACCGAATCGGAACTTGGATCGTCAATGAGGCGGTCTGTTGGAATCGTCCAAATGTTGCACAAGGACCGACGCATCTCGCGAATCGACCACAACACTCATCAAAAACAGCCGGCTCAGGGCAGACGCTACCACGGCCTGCCATGCCGAGTTCGTTGCAGCGGAAGTTGGAGTTGCTTGGTGTCTATCAGACAGGGTCATGCTCGCTCTTGGTTTCGCAGCCGCAGGGTAAGATTTTATGCTTCCCTGCTCTTTCAATCACTTGCCATCGCACACTGGACTGTCAATGTCAACCATCTGACATCTGTCTACAAGTACACCCTTTAACCTTTAATATGTTATCAATGCTTCACCTTTCCTCAGCTGCTCTCGCGTCTGCCGTACCCTGCCGCGTCGCCGTGCCCCTCACTTTCGCGACATGGCTGTCCCTCTTCTAATTCTTCGTCGCAGGACTTCCCAGCCAATATCGCAAGACTTCTTCGGTAGCAAGGATTTTTGCACATCTTCTGGGCCCACCATAAGATGAAAACCGGGGTCACTTTCGGCTGCTCTCTGCATTTCGGGAGGTCTCTCGCCTCTTGTCATTTGATGCCCAAGGGAAAGGGTGGGATTTTGAGTTTTTCGTGAGGCTGGAACCAATCTTGTAGGACGCACCATCATCCGCACAGGTCACGTTTTCCTCTCACACCAGGTTTCTCGCTGGTTCCAGGCCGGGCCTTCTAAGGAAGGCACGACAACGCTATTCGACCGATTACGACCTTGATTTCAGACTCTCGTTTTCTAGCCATGGCCGTCGCCGTGTTTGGCTTTCAGCATCAAGTTGCGTGTCGTTCAACCGCTTCCTCACGGCAAAGCAGGACAGAGCATTTGCACTGACTTGTCCAACAGCATGGCATCTTGCTGCTCCTTCAACAAAGACATTCCTTTAGGCTGCGCAACTGAATCATCTTGAGGATCGCCGCCGTAATGAGCAGGTGCCGACAACCACTTTCGGGAAGGCTAGAAAGCAAGTTTCAAGGCTTGTCTGAGACATATGTTCCTGACTATTCCCAATACCTCGAGGCGTATGTGCGGCTAAGACGAAGGGGATGCTTCAGGCGCCGCTAATGCCCATGGAATCATTTGCCAAGCTCCAGGAACCAAACCGGAAAGACATCTTTATCGAGGTATTCGACCGTCAACAAGTGATCCCCCGCTGGTAAGATGCTCTAGCCGACGCGTCTCACATGTCTCTGGGAATTTTACAAGACAAGGCAAGCCCGACCCATCAGGGACATTATGCAACTATGGCATATGGTACCCCTGGTGGATGAAGTCATGAGGCCATCAGGCGGTCAGTCCTGCTGCTGTGGTCCTCGATGAACAAGCATCCTTCAGGGGGGTCTGGCGAGCCCAGCAAGTGTCAAGCAAAGTACGGCCAATTTTAAGCCCCCAACGGACAAGAGCAACGATACCCCTGCTCCCGCTAGCGTGAGCTGATGCAGTCGGAGCGGCAGACAGTGTTCACATTGTTGGGCTTCGCACTGTAATTGAAATGGGACAGAGGTGCATGCCCTTATGTAACGGACATGGGCGAGGAGCCACGGAAAGCGGCTTATTTTCACTCATCGCCAGTTGGCTAGAGGTTGCGCACATCCACTGCGGCAACAGACGACCGCGAAAAGCGGCACCTGCACCCAAGCCAAGCAGAAACGCGTACGCGGTATCCGTACGGAATTGCAGCGGGCGATGGACTGTTCAACATCGTTCTCGGATCTTCCTTCTGTGGATGACAACAGTTGGCGGTGAGCAAGACGACACAGAAAAATAACAATGGCGTTCGTACCTGCAAGAGATGACTTACAACTGGACCGCCATGAGGCCTGGCTAGCTGCATGCTCCAGGCTGCAGCGCGCGCTGCAAAGCCGGTGCACCTATCACGATTGCTTCGCTGATTGATCCGGGTCGGCAACGACGGACGGCCAATATCGGAGATGCCACACTCCGAGAGCCACGGCAGCGGAGTACCCAAGTGGAGGTACGAGGAGGCAAAGAGCAAAGTTGAGCGGCGGGAGTGGGAAAGTCGATTTCCCATGTCCCCCAGCTACGAATACAGCGGCGTGGGCCAATTTTGCTGCTGACGCCGGCTCATGAAGATCGTCCTCTGCCTGGGGCCCACCGCTCAGCTGTGCCCTCCATCAACCTGCTATGTCGCATACAGCCTGATCTCCCGCATGATGGGATACAGACAGGGCCATCGCGATACCATACAACCCCTCTCCTCTGACGGTCTGACCCCTCGAACCCCCAGAAGGTCATCGATAGTGGCTCAGGTAAGGCGGTCTTTCTAACCCTCGGCTACCCGCTTTTGGATCATCCGCCTCGTCCTACGCAGTACGTACGGACACAACCTTCACATTCACACTGCATTCCTAGGTATCATCGCGCAAACTCCAAGAGAGGAGCCAACTCCTTTCCGCTATCCGGTCGACTCTGGGCAAGCGGGCCACTAACAACCGCACCCCCACAAACTCACTATTCCCTGCATAGCCCTTTCGCTTCGCTGCTAGCGCGGTGTGCAAAGTGTACGCAAGAACGATTGCAAACTACAGAGTACAGGACTAGGCGCTCTGACTGCCAAACGATGCGTGCGGCAAAGAAAGAACACCACCTAGGACTCCCGACAGCTGGGAAGCTGACGAAAGCCGACTAGCTTGATGATCCGCCGCGATGGTAGACCCTATCTGGCGATCATTCGGTCTGCAGGAGACTTGAGCAGAAGACTTCTAGGGCTTCACAGAAACAGCCTCAATTGCTTCTTCGAAAGGCTTGAGTCAACGACAGTTGAAGCTCATCCAGTAGACCATATGGACCATTCGCCTCGCCACTGTTGCAACGCAAATCGCTGCAACCGCGCAATCCTCTCAACGCCTCCGGTGAGGTGTTGTAGGTTGAAAATCAAGAGAAAATGACTCGTGTCTGTTCATCGATGATTTGGAGGAGCGCATGCGCTTCCGTAGTGTATTTCCAGGGATATTTTGCCCTGTCGATCGCCTTGCTTGCTTGTCATTGATCGACCTCGGCGCTCCACACATCCACCCTTGGGCGCGAGAGGCCGAGCGGTGGGCAATGTTGATCTCTGAAGAAACTTGCAGCTCGGTTGAAAGCCCCAAAAAGCACAATGATTGTCATGTGTGATCGAGCATCGATTTCTGCTGCTGCCAAGTCCAGCAACAGGTGGACGATTACCCGCAACATTTCGGTTCATGACGGCCAGTCTTCGTCCAGAGGATGGTTGGCAGACCGAACGCGATCGGGTAGCGGCAAACTGACTTCATCCAATCAGCGTCATCAATCATCGAGCGACTCTAGTTGGTGCACATGACAAACTCCTCCTGCGGGCGACTTATCATCCCAGAGAATGTCAGCCTTAGCCTTATTATTCGTACTACTCTAGAAATCCAACGCCTGCAGAGCCACTTATCTAAGCTGACGGGCTGGTCAATCATATCTGAGCTCACAAGGCTATTGGGCCCCAGGCTGCTTGTCACCTACCTTAAGGACAATGGATCTAGGTACAGGTTCGGCCTTTTGTCTCTCTGTGTGTGAGGCACTTGGCTTGCGGCTACCGCTGAGATGTCTTCAACGGTGGTTATCAATTGGCAGCGACGCTCGCGAGTTTGCATCATGGTCCAGCCATCATAGCCCGAGACACCTTGAGAGAAGAAGTTTTCATGGTGAGGGGCTTGCACATTGAAACTTGCTCATTAAGCATGCAGGAGTATCTTCATCTCGAGTGCAGTGGTTGGCAATTGCAGACTCCTGGCAAGGTTCTGCCCGTCTCTTCGTCTCCCCGCTTCCCGTGGCTGCTGTCGCGACTGCTCACCGCGGCCAACGATCACCATGCAAGGCAACGCAAATCATAGTTCTTGCGCGAGGCCACCAACCCCGGAGTATCTGCTTATTATGGCATCGATCATGCCTGTGCACAAAGCTCGAACAAGTCTGTTCTATGCCAAACCGCGCGTACGGCGTCGTCGTGCAAAGAACTGCGACACTGTCGGCAGGATTCATATCGGATGAAGGTTCCATCCCCACAGCACTCCCCCTTTTCAGTCGCATTTTCTTCTCTCCTCTATGCTGCGGTCAAGTCTCATGTCATGGATGTGTGCGTCTGCACAATGATCATCCCCCGAAGGGCGACGCAAGCACCATCCATCTTGGACCTACCCCTGAGTGGTTGGCATCCAAGCACGATCGAGACGCAGTCACAATCACATACGAGCATCATGTTTGCATCCAGTGAAACTGCTTGGATGTTTTTGAAGCTACCCAGGAGAGTCATTCGTCCCAACAGGGACTCAAACTAACCAGCGAACATTGTCCGTGCTGATGAAAGCCTCAGCTTCATCCCTGTTTCCAACTGCCTTGCGTCGCACACAGTCTTTGTCTTCACCGCCGTTGGGACCAAAGTCCGCACGACTAAGAGCTCTGCAGAACAGACTTTGCCTCGAACAGGAAAGCGCCTACCAGATATCAGAAGAGATTGGTACGGAGCAGTCTCATGGCCTGCGCGCGGTCATGGGAGCTAGTCGCTGCTCCATGGGCTGACCAACTACACCCATCCGACGATGCGGCGAGATCAGAAAAGTCACTGAGGTGACATCCGGCCGTTCTAGCTGTCGCTCCCGTACCTAGATGTGTATCCATTGAAAGCTCCCGTCAACCATGGGTAGGCCGTCCCACATGGCCAAGCTCGATGCGAACGAAGCCTCTCGACATAGCCGGCTCCTTTGTCTGTAGAGTCTCCAACGAGGAATAGCGGCGGATCATTCTTGGGGCAGGGTTGCAGTTGCAACCAAGTGCTTCCGTTAGCAAGAGAAGCACCTCTGGTGCAACTAATCACCAGCCTACGCTAAAGATGCATCGGTCAGGTCGTGAGCCGAACTGACGATGCCATGGAGACGCCAGCGCATGAGAGAACCCTAACCCCGTCAAGGCACTAGCGGCTCCTGGTGACCACGGCATCACCACTTCGTGGCCTTCTAATTGACCCCCTTTTCTTCGCTCCCGATGACGGTGTTGACGCCGTCGGAAA